AAAATGTTTTTTTTTTTTTTTTTTTTTTTCAGCTGGCGCATGCATTAGCAATCTCGAGGATGTTAGAAAAGAAAAGAAAACAAAAAAGGAGAAAAAAGAGGGGGAGGGGGAGGGGAGGGGGGAGGGGGGAGGGGGGATGAAAGAAAAAGAGAGAGAAAAACGTAAATGATAATTAAAAGTCCCTGGACTTGAGAGCTTTAAACAAGTCCATGAGTATTTGTCGCAAACGGCAAATTAAGGCCGAAAGTTTGGCCTAAATATTTACTTTTTGCCTCGTAAAATTGGACTTTGAGCCGAGAAGCGATGCAATGGTGGGCGGGTTGGTTGAGTGTGGTGGGAGGGGGGTGGGGCGGGAGGAGGAGGAGAGGCGAGTTTAGCGATAAAAAAATGTGTTTAAAACTCGTAGCAGAAGACGTACGATAAAAGCGGAGTAAGGCAGAGGAAAAATTTTAAACGGCGGCTAAAATCGGGAGTGGACGTCGATTGGCGGTGAGTCGGACCTCGTGCCAATGGAGACGAGGAAGAAAAAGCGCGCGTCGCGGCTTCGAACCAAAAATCTAAATAAATTGAAAGGTCGAAGAGGACAGTTGGCGAGCCAATAGACGCTGGCGCTGGGAAACGGAGGGGCGTGCCAACAACGTTGATGCGCGACAATTTTCCGTGAAAAATTGAAGAAAAGCTGAGCGACGAGGCCTCGTATAAATCGCCGACGGCGCTCGCGCGTTCCCTTCCTCTCGCTCGCTCACGCTCGCACTCCGCGTCTCTCTCTCTCGCACATCGGAAGTGCATGCAGGCTATTATACTTCCGGCATCGGTACCTCGACAAGAACCTCCTCGGCAGCGAAAGCCGAGTCCTCAGCCCCGAGGGATATTCCCGAGGAATCGCCGCTCGAGGAGGACGAGTAACGGTGCTGCGCCTCGTTACTACATTGACGTTAGTTCTTGAGATTCCTCGCCCTCCTCCGCTCCTTCGCCCCATCCGACATATAGTCGACGACGACGACGACAACAACAAGCAACAACTACGACGACAACGACAACGACAACAACGATACACGACGACAACGACACGCGACGACAACGACACACGACGACTACGATACACGACGACAACGCAACGACACACGACGACAACGCAACGACACACGACGCAACGCAACGACACACGACGCAAACGACAACGACAACGACAACGCCAACGACAACGACAACGACAACGACACACGACGTCAACGACAACGACACACGACGTCAACGACAACGACAACGACAACGACACACGACACACGACGTCAACGACAACGACACACGACGTCAACGACAACGACAACGACAACGACACACGACACACGACGTCAACGACAACGACACACGACGACAACGACAACACGACGACGACGAGCAAGAGGACAACGTCGAAATCTAATTGGCGGTGTGGCGGGGGTAGAGGGGACTCGGTAATAGGTGCGCGCGACTGCGGAGTACAGCGTAGTCAAGCGAGAGAGTACGTGTTGAGGGGCGCGCGCGCTCAATCAAAGTCCGAGGCAGTTTGTAAGAGCTAGACGTCGTCGGCGCGAGGAGCCCCTGGAGTTTCTACCGCCCCACCCCTCTCCCTTGAGATAGAGCTGCTCGTGTCCTGTCGAAGGCGCGTGCGACTCGAATCATTCCTTCCTTCTCGGTGTGTGTGTTCGCAAGCCCGCGCGCACGCGTGCCTCCACGGATAATACGCCGTGGTGCGTAAGAGAGGGGGAGAGAGGGGGAGAGAGGGTCATTAAAAGCAAGACCAAGCAGTAAGGGTAGTATTAGCAATATTAGCACTAACAACAACAGCAGCAGTAGTAGTAGTAACAGCAGTTGCAGTTGCAGTTGCAGTTGCAATTGCAGTTCCAGCGGTAGCGGCGGCGGTAGTGGTAGTGGTGGTGGTGGTGGTGGTGGTGGCGGCGGCGGCGGCGGCGGCGGCGGTGACAGTAGCGGCAGTAGTAGTAGTAGCGGCAGCGGCATCGGTAGTATCGACGGTGGCAATTGTATTCCGGATCCGCCTGTCGGCGAGGCGCCCAGCCTCCATCTTCCGAACCCGGGCTCGCATCTTGTCCGGCGACAATGGCGGCAGAGCTCGAACAATTCCAGCAACTCCTCAATACGCTTCTGAGCACTGATAATGACGTGCGGGCTCAAGCCGAGGTAAGTCTCTCTCTTATCACAGGGCCTCTTCCTCGATCCGGAGCCACTCTCGCCCGTGTGAGTCCTTCGTGACTCATCCGTAACCTCGAGTATACACGGGTCTGACCTCCGTGCGGCCAAGGACGCGAGGAGACTCAGCGGGTGACAGTGCAGCGGAGACACGCGCGAGCAACCAAAATGGTGGCGCCTCATTGGCGCGTGTGCGCGCGAGAACGGAATACGGAGTTGCGATCGCGGCAAAAAAAAGAGGATAAAAAACGAGAGTAGATCTCACCTGGATCTCTGCTCGGGGTCGCGCTGCTCGATCACCTTCCTATCCGCTCGAACTACTTTCGAGGCTCTCGAATTCGCGCGAACGGACGACCGAGCTTTTTTAGGCTTCGAACTGCCCTCGTGCTTTCAATTGGATAATTTTGTTTCGCTAATTGGGAAGAAGAGAAGGTGACGGGATGAAATGATTGGAATCGTTTAGGGTCCTAACTTTTTTTTTTTCATCCTTTTTTCTTTTTTCCCTCGTTCCTCACAATAATTCGGCGATGAATATTCTTCTTTCTTTGCTTTTAAGATGAAGTCTAAGGCTCGATATTTCTTTATTAATTGTCCACGAATGCTCAGGGTAGCGGTCCACGTATATATATATATATTAAATTTTTTCTTTTCAACTCTGTTTTGTGCATGTGAGCATACGACGTTTGCCACGCATCCGACATAACCTACAAAGCTAACACGCGGCTATGCACTATTCGCGATACTCTAGTACATTTTTTTTTTTTTATTCCTCTTAGTGTACTCCACCTCTTCTCTGCCATTATTTGGTAACTTTATAATTGCTTCTTTTTTTTTTTAACTCTGATGGTTTGCAAACGATGCCGAGTGCTAATTTTAATATAGTTAGTTAAGATGTTGGAAAAGAAAAGGTGAGGGAGCGAGAGAGAGAGAGAGAGAGAGAGAGAGAGCGAACGGGACGGTGTAGCACGTTCTTCAGAGTCACGTCTTGAATTCCGTATTTCGACGAGTGCTTCGTGTTACGTTTAGTTAGTTATAATTTACTTAGCAATGTTTTTAGTAAGAAATACCTTTCTACGAGCATGAGTTTTTTTGTAATAAGCTCCCATTATTATTCTAAATATGCATTTGAACTTCACTGCTTCTTTACCTAAATTTGTCGATTAAATATGTTCTCTTGGTATGAATCATCTGTAATGAACGGTGTTAATTGGAAAAGCATGAATTTGTGGACCTTATGCCCGCTAGAATTTCATGAAACTTTTGTAATCTTCGGAAAAGTAAAATGCTTGCAATCGTCAGGTTATTATCCAACTTTCTTCCTATTAACAAATAAACATTATGTTTATTTTACTGTTTTAATAGTTTTAATAGATGAGCATGTGTGGAGTGAAATAACTGGGATTAAATATTTTTCAAATTGTCACGTTTCATTCAAATGTATCATTTGATATTTAAATTTATCCAATGAGAACTATGACTCGTACCCGATTAACATAATTAAATTTACCGAATTTTTATTTATTATAATATATCTTTTAACGACGCTTATTATGATTATTCGTAATCGTGGAAATATTAGTATGGAAAATAAATATTTAAATGTATTTTATAACTTAATTACTCCGCGTAAGTTTATTTAAATTTAATTTTAATTAATTATTGATATTTAAATTGGATCTAAAAAGTAAATAAAAAAATTATTAAAATTCCAACATTTTAGTCGAATCTTGGTTAACTCAATTAAATGCTGTTAATTCTGCACTCTATTGAATCAATAACTTTTGGGCCAATTATACATAAAATTGTTAAAGCTTATGGTTCGTTGTACCTAATATAAAATTCATTAATTAATATCATTGTCGGATGAGAAATTATTGATATATTCAAATTTAATAATCAGGACAATTTTACTTAAATTTCAATATCAATATATATTAATAAGTTAATGAGATATTCTTTGTTATTTGTACCTACACATAGAATACTTAATTTAAATAATTAATAATAAATTCAATTATATATATATATATATATATAATGTATTTTAAAAAAAAGAAATAATTAAAGAAATCTTGTAAAACAAGATATATATATACACACACACACATATATTCATTTAGATTTATCTTATAAATTACAATTTGGATGTTTTTTTTATATAATTTTACAAAATTACATTTTAATTAAATTTTCAAATTAATGACTATCAAAGCCTTATAACAATTTTTTTTCATTAAATTATTTTTGATAGGTCGTTTGATGATTATATACCAAGAAAGGTATTTTATAATACCACTATTATTATTATCAGATATAGAAACAATATTACTAAAACAAATTTATGTATGGTAATTTTGTTGCGTTACTTGTGATAAAATAAGTATTTTTATATTTATACTTTAAATTTTAAGTTTTCAGATTTATATACGTGTTAACGTTTTTTAATATTATTCAATAAAATTTTAGAAACAATGCTCATCAGTCACACTTTAATAAGCTTTTTTTATTAATGAAATATTTCTGTTGTATTTAACGCATAAATAAATTATTGTTACAGTATAATTAAATTGATGTGTCTACAATGTACTTATTTAAAACAACTTAGAAAATAATTTTTTTAACAATTTATCAATTAATGATTTATTATAAATAATAATACGACAATAATAATAAATAAGAAATTTTAAATAGAATTTTCAAAATTGCAAAGTAAAGTAAAAATTTATTAGTATACTGATTATTATTATTATTAGTTTTATCGCTATTATTATTAAATTATACTGTAAAATGCTTGTAATATTTTTATTTATATGTAATTTTTTTTTTTTTTTTTTTTTTTTTTTTTTTGCTGTTTAGAAAGCATACAAAAATTTACCAGTGGAAAACAAGGTTCAGTTACTGCTTCAATTTATTTGTGATGGTTCCGTAACAGAAGATTTACGAGGCATGGCGGCAGTCTTGCTTCGTAGATTATTTTCTTCAGAATTTGTAGATTTCTATCCAAAGGTATATAATTAATGATTGTCGATTTTCTTTTTCTTTTCTTTTTTATATTAAATTTGACGCAATTACCTATCATGAGAATAATGTTATAGATTTCACCCGAAGGACAAGCGCAGTTGAAAGAGCAAATTTTATTAGCAGTTCAGAATGAGCAGTCACCTAAAGTTAGGCGCAGAATATGCGAAGTCACTGCAGAAGTTGCTCGAAATTTAATCGACGAAGATGGAAATAACCAATGGCCTGAATTTCTTCAGTTCCTATTTCAGTGTGTAAACGGTCCTATACCAGCTCTAAAAGAAAGTGCTCTGTGTATGTTCACGTAAGTTGAATGAATATTTTATACGAATGTCTTTATAGGGGAAAGCTTTTTTTTTTTTTTCATAAAAATATATCTTATATATAGAGAAATGTAAAATTAATTGGGTTTGTTTCCTATTCGTAAGAGAATATTTTAATTTATTTAGGTGTGTCCCGGGAGTTTTTGGTAATCAACAAGCAAACTATCTAGATTTAATCAAGCAAATGCTGCAACTCTCAGTTAACGATTCATCTAATTATGAAGTAAGTTCTAATGTGTATTATTATTAAATAATGTTGAATCTTTTGGAAATTCATACACAAAGTGCAATTGTTATATATGCATTTTGCCACTTATTTTCCATAAATAAATAGTTTTCTGATGACTGTAACTTGTGAAGTAGTAATTTGCAGACAGATACGGAACTTACATTTTTCAAAATAAATTGATTTATAAATTTTTAAATCTTTCGAGTACTTAAACTAATGTATATATTTTATAATTTTAGGTACAATTTCAGTCAGTAAGAGCAATTGGTGCTTTTATAATGCTTCATGACAAAGAAGCTAATATACAAAAGCATTTTTCCGAGCTTCTACCATCAGTCGTAGTTGTTACAGCCCAATCTATAGAAAAGCAAGAAGATGATACTTTACTGAAGGTATTAATAGATTTAGCTGAGTCAACTCCAAAATTTCTAAGACCACAATTGGAAAGCATAATGGAGATGTGCATGAAAGTCTTCTCCAATGAAGATATGGAAGATTCTTGGAGACAACTCGCGCTTGAAGTTATCGTAACTCTAGCCGAGACAGCACCAGCAATGGTTCGAAAGGTTGGTGGGAAATACATTTCAGCATTGGTACCATTGGTTTTGAAAATGATGACGGATCTCGAGGAAGACGAGGAATGGACTTTGTCAGACGAAATTATTGAGGAAGATAATGATATCAATAACGTAGTAGCTGAAAGTGCTTTAGATAGATTAGCCTGTGGTCTTGGTGGTAAAACAATGTTACCTCAAATCGTTCAAAATATACCTTCGATGTTGAGCAGCGCCGATTGGAAGTATAGGTAATTATATAAATTTAGTCTCTCGACGTTAAATTTGATAATTAACCAATTCGAGAAGAGAGAGAGAGAGAGAAAACATGTATATAATCTAACCATAACTTTTTTTATAGACATGCTGCTCTTATGGCTATATCTGCTGTTGGTGAAGGGTGCCATAAACAAATGGAAGCTATATTACCACAAATTATGGATGGAATTATGCAATATTTGCAAGATCCAGTAAGTTTTTCTATGAAATAATGTGTTATCACACACACACACACACACACACACACACACATATATATATATAATTATATATGTTATGTGTGTGTGTTATATATATATATGTGTGTGTGTGTGTTAAAAACCACAGGCAGAGTCAGCGGTCAATTCATTATTTGAATGTGAAAGCGTTACGCTTGTGGTAGATTAATAGGCCTCTGAATGTTCCCAATTCTGAATTGTCGTTTTGATAATAAGATGAAGGTTCTTTCAGTAGTGGGTTTCTGAGAGTTAGATATTGTTACTTTGCAATAACTATAGTATCGAAACAAACATTTCAATATAAGAGATAACTCATGCCAACGTTTTGCTTTAATAGTCGATAAGAAGTTTGTTGAATTATTTTAGCATCCCAGAGTGAGATACGCTGCTTGCAATGCCGTCGGTCAAATGTCCACTGATTTTGCACCAACTTTCGAGAAAAAATTCCACGATGTCGTGATTCCGGGACTATTGCTGGTTCTCGACGACAACGCGAATCCTCGAGTACAATCACACGCAGGTGCCGCGCTCGTTAATTTTAGCGAAGACTGTGCAAAAAATATCCTCATGCCATATTTGGATGCAATTATGGGAAAGCTTGAATCTATCTTGACAACCAAATTTCATGAATTAGTTGAAAAGGGTACAAAACTCGTTTTGGAACAGGTTTGTTTGATAAATTAAAAAATAATATATTATTATTAAACATGGTATTGATGATGTAGTTATTGAAAAATCAATTACAACTTGTTTTGTGATTTAGGTGGTTACAACAATTGCCAGTGTTGCCGACACGTGTGAAGAACAATTTGTAAAATATTACGATAGATTAATGCCATGTCTCAAATATATTATTAAGAATGCGACTCGGGAAGAACATAAAGTGTTACGTGGCAAAACCATCGAGTGCGTGAGTCTTATTGGCTTAGCTGTGGGAACGGAAAAAGTAAATATTATCTTTTTAAAAAATAATTTATACGACAGGATAATCCATCGAAATTAAATAAGTTGTTGTTGTTTTTTTTTTTTTTTTTTTTTTTTTAATAGTTCATAGGAGATGCAAATGAAGTAATGGACCTACTACTCAAAACACATACTAATCTTCCAGAAGACGATCCACAACTCAGCTATTTAATATCTGCCTGGGCTCGTCTTTGTAAAATTCTAGGTAATTAAAATCTAACCTTATTTCCGTTTCTTTTATTTACTATACGCAGACGCGCGCGTTAATATTACTTTTGCTAAGTTCTTCTATCTATCGGCATCTTTAACGGAAGAAACATGGTGTGGAAGTAAAAATTAAAATAGCAAATTCTTTACATATTAAATTAAAAAGAATATCGATACAATAATAATAGCGAGTATCGTACTTATTATTGTGCATATAAATATATTATTCTAATGTCAATTAATGCACCTACTGTAGATATAAATTTGAGACTGTAATTAACAATTTATCATTTTCCAGTCTCACTGTAAATAAAATAATGGTAAAATATATAAATATATTTTCCATTGCAGGACAACAATTTGAACAGTATTTACCACTTGTAATGGGTACTGTTTTACAAACGGCAGCAATGAAGCCAGAGGTAGCTGTACTAGATAATGAGGACATGGAGGACGTAGAGAGTGACGTCGATTGGCAATTTGTCTCGCTAGGTGAACAACAAAACTTCGGCATTAAAACCGCGGGACTCGAAGATAAAGCATCCGCTTGTGAGATGCTTGTGTGTTATGCAAGAGAACTAAAAGACGGTTTTGCCGATTATGCTGAAGAGGTTGTACGGCTTATGGTTCCCATGCTCAAGTTTTATTTTCATGACGGGGTCAGAACTGCCGCCGCCGAGAGTTTACCGTGTCTTTTAGATTGTGCTAAAATTAAAGGTCAGTCAATCGAATGTATTTTTGTTTATTCTCATATATGTGTTTACATATATATATATAAATACTTATTAAAAATTCATAAACATATTTATTTATTGTTATAATAATATTGCTTCTCCAATTATTTCATTTTCGTAATTTGACAAAATTATCTATAACATAAAACATACGATATATCGATTTTAGAATATTTCAATCCTGCTTACCTACATGTATTATTATTATTAAATGAAAGTTAATAATATCTGAATTTGCGATAAACGAAATAATCCAACAATGAGATACGTTGTAACTAAAAAATTGCGCTGATCAAACATAAAAGCACATAAACTGCTATTTACTCGATTATATATTAATTATTATTTTATTTAATGAATTAGGAAAAATATATTTGATTTTTTATTAAGTATAATGTTATCTGTAATGTAACAAACAAATTATTATTTAGGTACACAGTACTTGGAAGGTATGTGGAATTACATTTGTCCAGATCTCTTGAAAGCCATTGATACAGAACCAGAAACAGACGTTTTGTTGGAATTACTGTACTCCTTGGCCAAATGTATCGAGACTTTAGGCGCTGGCTGTTTAGGGCCACAATCGATGACAGAATTATTACGTATTCTTGATAAACTGTTGAACGAACATTTCAAAAAAGCATTTGCTCGATTGGAAAAAAGAAAAGACGAAGATTATGATGATGTAAGTACAAATATTCTTAGTGTTATTAGTATTAACGGGGCATTCTTTAACTTTAATATTATTAAGTATTATGTTGGCTATTTGCATTAAATACAATTATAATGTAATGGTCTAAAATTACTTTTTTGTCATGTATATAAGTGTCGTTGACAATTTATGAAAGATAATTGTCGATGTAACGTTGAGTCATTGTACAATAATAAATCTCTCTGCAATTGTAAAAATTAAATTCCTTAATTACAATCTGTCCATGAGATCGTATAATTTTAATTAACAATTGATTATACGTTGCATTTGTCATATAAAAAAGCTTAACTATTAATTTTATATTCTTTTTTTAATTTAAGAGTATGTATTTATTTATACATTACCAACGTTTTTGTTTCTTTGTGCTTCTGTTGCATCGCAACTTGATTAATGATCGTTTGTAGTTCTAAAGCAGTTGTGGTCGAGTAGCTGCTAGCAGTAGCTTTATAATCGCATGACCATTAAGCAATTTTATAATAAAACTTATTTCATATAGAAAGAAAACGAGCGTATTTATCTTACCATGGACAAAGGACGGGATAAATAAAGCTTATATATCCGTTTGTCGAGTAGGTAGTCGAGGAGCAGCTCGTTGACGAAGACAACGAAGATCTATACACATTGAGCAAAATAACCGACATATTCCACGCACTCTTTATTACCCATAAGTCCACCTTTTTCCCCTACTTCGATCAACTGGTCGGTCACTTCGTGAAGCTGCTGGCACCCAGCAGGTCCTGGTCAGATCACCAGTGGGCCCTTTGCGTCTTCGACGACGTGATCGAGTACGGTGGCCCCGAGTGCGCCAAATACCAAGAGTTCTTCCTACGGCCAATGATTCAGTACGTGTCGGACAAGTCAGCGGAGGTCAGACAGGCGGCAGCCTACGGTTGCGGTGTACTCGGTCAATGCGGGGGCGAGGCTTTCGCCCAGGCGTGTGCCGAGGCGCTACCCAGGCTTATGGAGGTTATCAACGATCCGGAGTCGAGAGCGGCTGAAAATGTCAATCCCACGGAGAATGCCATCTCTGCAGTCACGAAAATACTGAAGTACAATAACAAAGCAATCAACGTCGATGAAATTCTGCCACATTGGTAAGGACTTGTTATATTTTTGTCCCAATACCATACGACTTTCTGCATTTGAAAACATTTGTAAGCGATTTTTTCTTGAAAAAAAAAAAAAAAAAAAAAAATAATTCGTTCGTTAGATAAGAAAGTATTATTTACATATGACCCATTCGTATTTCATTTGTATTATAAAGCATAAAGATGTATGGGCAATTATGAGCTTCGATTCATTTCATCAAATTATTTTATTAAAAAATATATCAACGATAAATTGATACGAGGTGAATTTCAAACGGTTAATATTTACTTAAAAAAACATTTGTTATATTTCAAATAAAATGAAATTACAATATTAATATCTTTTATACGTGTAAAGTTGAAGCCAAGACATGAATAAAAACTTTTGCCATTTAGGTTATCTTGGCTACCGGTTGTAGAAGACGAAGACGAAGCTCCACACGTTTATGGATATTTATGCGACTTAATAGAAGCAAACCACCCTGTAGTTTTAGGCCCTAATAATGCAAATCTACCGAGACTTATCAGCTTCTTTGCTGAAGCATTAAATGAAGATGTTGTACCCTCTGACAATCCTGTAATGGCCAGGATTCTTATCATTGTTAGGCAAATTCAGGTAATTTTGTCATCTAATTTATATGAAGTACTGCTTACAAATTAAATTCTCTTATTGTGAATAAAAAAAAAACTATATTTTTAGAGCAACGAGTCAATGTTCCAAGCGTGTATAGCTGCTTTAACATCGAAACAACAGCAGGCCCTACATGAAGCTCTGAGTGCACAAATCGCAAATTAAAAAGCTTTCGCTTATAAAATCTTTCGATTTTAATGATATAACTAAAACACAAAAATATCTGTGCTTTTCCAAATCTAAATAACTGGAAAATCACTGATGCAACTTAGGTAATCAATATCTTACCTACTCTTCTACAAGCAAAAAAATAAATAAAATTTACGCCTCACGCAGCCTGATAACTAGCATACAGAGATAAATACAGGTGTAATAGACTGTTTTGCTTATTACTGTTATTGTTGATTAAATAATTTTCTTCATTATGTTGTAACAGTTCTATCAGAACGACTAGAACAAATTACCACATAATAGGAAATCGTAAATTCACTATCTATTGTCTCGTAAATTATGTCAGTTTATAACAAAAATGAATTCTCATTTACTTCACATAAGTTCGCAATGACGAAATGACTATTTTTGTAACCTACGTTATTAAATATTTAATTATCTAAAGAATCGTTGTTTAAAAAAAAAAAAAAAAATATTTAAAAGGAGAAAGAAGTATTAAACTATTACAGAAATATTTCCGAAAAATATTTATAAATTCATGTTTCACCAGCCATTAAAAATGATCCATATTATAAAAACATAAGTGTGTATGATTCATTGTAAATTTTTATAAAATCTTTTTCTTTCGTAAAATATGATTGTTTTAAAAAATAAAATTAAAATTAATAAAAAGAAAACAAACTAAAAAAAAAAAAACTCAACAAAAACACAAGGCTACGATCACGACGTTTTTCGTCAGTGCTAGCTTATTTATTTCTTAAACGTGGACAACAATAACTTTCATACTGGATTGAGCTCGATATAATAGCTTTCATGAATTAAGTTGTGAGAAAATAAAATAGACTAGGAGTCACTAACTCGTTGTCATTATTCAGATGTCATGACATTGTGATTTAGATATATTATTATGAAATTTAGATACAATAAATGTTATTTAATGATAATAACAATAGTGTTATTGTGGAGTTTTGACAGTCGATTTGGAGTATCCTAAAGCTTCGTAATATAAAAAGATAAAGATTGAAACCTGCAATATTTCAATATTCAAATTCCGAAGATTCATCTCATCGAGAAAAACTTCTTTTCTCTTTCATGAACATACTTGAAACGCAATTTGGTGCTGCGCGCTAATAAGTCTGTATAGTTTTACACAGTATCATCAAACAAATACAAAAAAAAAAAACAAAGGTAAAGAGTCAACGCGGTTGTGAAACTTTGGTAAAAAAAAAAAATAATAATAATAGATGAAAAATTAGTAGTCTGCGAAACGCAAACTACTGAAAAACTGTTATTCATTATAAATTTATTCTAAATGATTCATTCTCTTATTTATTTGTATGCAGTTATTTTTGTTAGACGTGTTGGTTATATTAAAATAGTCCTGGAGGACTCGCACGCGATAAAACAAGACGCAATTAACTACAAAGACGACGTGATTCTTCATCGAGTACCCTTTTGTCTATATTTTTTTTATCTTATCAAAGAAAGTTCGAAAAAAAAAAACAAAACAAAAAAAATACAAAATAAATAAATAATACATATAAAGAAAGAATAAGAGTTACGAGCATTAGTCACTTTGTACATAACTAAAGAAATTTAAGATATAGAATAGTAATGCAAAATTGGAAGTTACTGAAACCGCACGATTTTATTCGTAAAGATAATCTCAAATATCTAATTACTTTGAAATAGATGTCAATCAAGAAAGAAATCAATAGTGAAATCTTAAATACAGCATAAAGTATTTATCGTCAGTCCCAAAAATATATATTTAAAAGAACTACAAACATTTTCAAAAGAAATATTATATTGTTGCGATTAATAAAAGATAATATATATTAAAGAGAGATAGATTTGAAGTTTTATAAAGAAAGAAACGTCAAATGAAAGAGAGAAAAAAATCAGCCTCTACCCGAGTAACCAAAACTCTTGGTTCTCAGGATTTTCGCGGCACTTTTCGTGCGACGCAGTTAACTTCACCAATACACGTGTCGAACTCAAAATAAAAAAGAAAATATATATAGTTGACTTATCGATTTGCTCGACTTGCGTACGCGTATGAAGATATATATGGATATATATTTATACATATATGAGAGAGAGAGAGAGAGAGAGAGAGAGAGAGAAATATCATATTAATGAGAAGAAACGTTCCAATTATAAAAGATGATGAAATAACGGAAATGAAGAAGATCGAATTAAGAATTATATAGAGATTATTTTAAATTTATTATTTACTGAAATAAATTTCAAGCTTTGTAACATCTGCCGTTTTTCATTGTAAACTTTTCAAACTGTTTTACTCAACTTTAATCAACTCCATACGTAATGTAACTTGATGATTTAAACAAGAATACTCCATACAAATGGTTTTTTAATCTTTTTTTTTTGTTTGTTTTTTGTTTTTTTTTTTTTTTTTTATCATATTAATGACAGAAGGTTTGTAAAAATTCTTTTATTCTTGTTAATCTTAGTTTTTCACGATTGATTAATGTGATATATCAATTTTTATTTTATTTAAACAATACAGTTATATAAAATTTGATTATGATTAATATTTAAAATACGCTTTTTTAATTCAACCATATTTTTTTTTATAAATTTTTAATAATTGTCATTTTGCGAGTTTTAGATAAGTGATTGTATAAATAAAGATAATTTGCACTATAATTTTGTATTTTAACATTTTTAAAACTATTTGTTAAAACAGTTTTTTACACATATTAATTATATTTAATTTTGACTAAATAGTATTTTGTACACAACGTATTCAACGATTAAAACGTTTCTATATATTAATCGATAAAAATTTGTATATTTGCATATATCTCTATTAAAAAGAATGTCCTAATATGCATGAATAATTGTACTTCTTGTGCTTATGTATAATTTTATTTATTTATGCGCACTAAACTACTTACAATTATAATAATGTAAATTTTAACCAAAATTTTTTTCAAATGAATATTCTACCAGCAAACTATGCTTATGATTTTAACACTATTATGCAATATTAAAAATAATTTTTTTATTTATTTATTTTTTTTTTTTTTTTTTTTCCTATTAATATATAAATTTTTAATTTTAATGTGCTCTCGATTGAAAACAGCAATTATATATTTGTAATGTAATGTAAGAGCCGCGTGTATTTGAAAAAGGCAATTTTTACGCGAAAACACAATTTGTCATTGGACCGAGCGTGTTTGTTGAAATGCGAGAAATGATTTTTCTGTAATTTGCATAGACATTGTTGAAGTCAATAACTGAACGAGAATCTTAAAAGCTAGTATGAAACGGATGATATTATATTTCATCGTAAGATATGTGCCATTGCTTGTAATGCCAATGAGAAATTGTATGCTTATTTACCTTGCACAAGTTTTTGGAAGAACAGTGATAATAAATGATGAAAGATTATTTAGAGAGTTTCATTAAGGAAGCAGTTGATAATACGATCCAACTTAGCGGTCAATGACATTGCGTCATATTGACCACACGAGATATTGCTTTGTGTTTAGCAGTTTCTTCAGTTCAAATGTGACGGAGTTGGGTGCTGGAAGAAGCCATGTAATGTAAAAATGTAAAATTGAATATCAAAATTAAAAAAAAAAAAAAATAAAAAAAAATATATTCCTGATCTTATTAATGTGAATTTTTTAATTTATATTTTTATTCATTAACGACAGTTTATATGTTGTAATAGTGACGAATAAGTTGTTTTGTAAATGATTCGGCGTGTTCAATTAAAATAAAAAAAAATAGGTGTTATTTAACGTAAATATTTCTATAAAACCGACATTGACAGTGTATAAACAAATATAAAAGACGATCCAAGGCGGTTAAGGTAATTATACTTATTGGTGGAAGCATTTAATTTAATTGTTATATTCTATAAAACTAAACCATTTCACAATATCCAACGTAAATAATAATAGTAATAGTAATTATGCATGTAGATTTTGCAAAAAAAAAAAAAAAAAAAAATAATATATATATATATATATCCCTTACAATTATATTGGATTATTTATTGATTGAGTTTTGTAAATAATTATATTAAAATTGACTTTTTTTTTACAACTGCTATAAAATTATTTCATTTTATAATATAAAAAATTATATTTTATTGTACTTTGCTTTCTAATATATACATGTATGTATGTATGTATGTATTCAATTTGGATATCATAATCTCGAGAGAGAAAAATATTGAAAAAGTAGAAAAGAAAAACCTAAATTAAAAAAAAATTTTCAACATAACATACAGCCAATATATAAGTTATATACCCTTTACAAGTATTAGTCTGCATAACAAATCGAGAGAATTTGTTTATTTTAGATGTCCATCTAATAGTAAGAAGATTGTGTATATTAGAATTCAAACTAAAATTTGTTTACTTACATTGTAAATGTATACTTACTTCAATGTAGATTACTTAGAAGTACATAACAATTCACCTACAACAAGATATTTTACTTTCAACTAAGTAAACATATTTTAGATAAATAATTTTTTGAAATATCGATGTGCCTTATTAAAAAAGTTATAAGGATGTTACTTTAACACGTATTACAAGATATTTCGTGTAATGGTAAGTTATGTAAGTTAAGTTGTCATTAGTTGTAATCAAAAATTCCAAAGCCAATGTCCTATCATGAAATAATACAAGTCGAGCTATTCAAACGTAACGGTTGTCTTTTTCATGAAAATCCGTAATCAATCTGAGCGCTTACATAAATGTTTAACAGCTATGATATGATTAGACGAAGAATAAACACAATATTGACAATTAATTAAATATGTTTCATTGAATTACTTTCTTCAATTAACGATACAAGTATACACATACTCTGGGATTAATCCTATTTTATTAATTTATTAAAGATTAAAATTAAAATTTATATTATACTATAAAACATTCGGAATCATTTTCATTTTCAGTAGATTAATTTCAATATGTAGTACACAAAATTATAGCTTTAATTCCTCTAGGATGAAAGATTATAATTTCCTATGAAAATTCTTGAATATAATTAATGAATTAATGAATTAATTCTATGCTGAGACGAAAATTTTTAAACATTATTCTATCTATCTTACATCTATATATGCCATATTAATTTCTATAAATAATTTATGTAACTTTTTGTTTTTTTTCTTTTTCTATCGTTCGTTACAGCCTATCGAACACATATAAAGAGCCAAATTGTAGTTTTTCCTTATTTTAATATGATTTTTGAAACTATAACATATTAAATGCAAATCGTAAGAGCAACAACAAAATTCAAGCGTATATTTAAGTTATAAAATAATATCAAAAATAAAATTAGCAGATGGACTTTATGGAAAATATTGTATTACAAAATTCCAAAATAATAATAGTTTTCAAGGATAATCCATATTTAATTGTTTTCTATAATAATAGTATATATAATATTAGAATGTTTATTTATTTATTTTTATTTATTTTTTTTTTTTATATAAGATATACGAAATATATATAAAAATATTAAATAATATTAATAATAAAAATAATAAATGGTAATTTCTTTAATAAGTTGAAATGCACAATACATAAAAATGCAGTTTAGTAAAGATATAAGTGATATCGAGTAATTTAATTGATAAAAATGTAAATTCTTTCCTAATATTTAAGTAAATATGTTACGTAGTTAGAAGAACATTTTTAATGAATATTTTTATTTATCTAAATGTGTAAATGTGGTTAAAGTTTCGAGCCTTGCCGAACTACTCTTCAATATTATTACTATTGTAAAGTTTTGTTACATAAAATGCATATTTTGTGTTATTTCGAAGGTGTGATAAGATAAAATAGTAAAAGGACTTTTTCATCCATATTATAATCTATATTTGCATAAAAATATAAAGTAGATATATAATATTATACATAACAATACTTTGAACACGATAAAACAAAAGATATGCATATATAAAACTATTATAGAAATCGATTAGCAACAATTACATGCATCCAAACAGACAAATATTTCAAAAAGTATCATTATATATTGATTTATTAAAGATTAATTCTATTTTTTCATTGTGTCATAAATTATTTTATAATTTATTTCAAATATAATGTTTAAAATTTCAAGGTTACAGTTAAATTAAAAACTCTAAAAAGAATATTTATATTTATCAAAAGCATTATTTGATATTCAAATCTCCTTATACGTAATTTGCATATAATTTTTTTTTAAATAATTACTCAAATCCACTTTCTCAACTATATGGGTTCTTATAATTACAAATTATTTTTTAATCTTTAAACTTATTCATATTATTATTTATTTTATTTTCAATTTTATTACATGAAATACAATTGATACGTCATCAATGTCTATTAGTAAGTAATAAAACAATGATATAAAGTCAAGGTCAGATACTTAAGAAAGTTGTCAGGCAATAATGTAATACTTATCAATTTGATTAATTACTTAATTAAATATTATGCGTCTTAAATACAGTAAAGCTTTAGCTAAGTATAATTACTATTTTAATAAGGAAAAAAATCGGCAAATATATTTGTAGTACAAACTGCTTAAATCATAAACTAACTATTTACATGTGTATCGGTTAGATTTTTTTTTTTTTTTTTTTTTTTTTTTTTTTTTTTTAATGAGACAACCGATTTCACCGAGAACATGTTTTTGTCGCTTTTTTTTTATCGCTCGTTCATAACACATGAAAATACACGTAAAAATAAATATTTCTATCGAACATTTATCGAAATCATATGCATTGAAAAACTACAATGACTTAATACAACAATATTCTAATATATAATGGAGAAATATGAAATACGATTTCTGAAACATAAAATATGTGTATTTATTTATAAATCTTTGTGATTTAAATAATTAGTGCAAAAAATCTTAATTTTATAACTGTTGAGCCCCTAAATAAAATCTGTGGCTAAAAATAATTACTTATTTAATGATAAAAGATTTATAATTCCACATATTTAGCAATGTATGTATTCGTAATAAGATAATTATAAATATAGTATTGATATTCAGTGAAACAGGTTTTCATAAAATACATAATTCGTGAATGCTATATATTATTCTATCGTATATGATTTATTTATTTGTTCTTTTTCTGTAGTGCCAATGATTTTTTATTTCATGGTTAGTTGATAAATAACAAAAATTAGTGTGATTTTTGAGAAGATAATCTGTAATATACGTCAATTATAAATTAATATGGTAAATATGATTTAAAATAATTATTTCTTAATATCGGTTTATTTAAATAAATGATATTGAAAATATAATTATGAAAAGTAATTATTTAATTCTGTAAATTTGATATTGACTAATAGTATTTTATGATAAGGTGTCACTTCTATTCGTAATTTCTCTTAGTAGAATTAAAAATTGTTAAAATACAATGTTTATTTGAAACATGATTTGTGAGAAAAATTGAACGATTAATTGAACATTATTAGTACTGAATGTGAAAAAAAAATTATTTAACGGAGAACGATCTGAATACGCCCTAAACGGACTTAACTAAATCATCTTTTTAATTTTCAAAAGTAAAATAATTTCAAAATGTATTTAATCATTCAACAGAATTTTATACTAAACAGATATATTTTACGCGATAATAAATTAAATAATGTTTTATAATATAAATTCTATTTAAATAAATAACAAAATATTATAAATATTAAATTGGAATATACTAAGCTTTTTTTTATGCATACACTACTGTATCAAGGTTATTTTTTAATTATAATAATTTTTTTGTATGTAAATCAGAGCATGCAGAGTATACTTATAAAACAACTATATGAAAGAGAAATTCGAATATGTTAATAACGAAAAGTCATTAAAGTAGAGCTTCGGAAGAATTACTTAATTCTCTTGTCTTCATTCGCTTTCATAAAACTTGTATTATTTTAAATTTCATCATATTCATTATTTGCATTGCATTTCTCATAAAATATGCTTATATGACAAAATTAATTATATACTTATATTTACTAACAAGCCAACTAGAAAACAATGGATAACAAATAAGAAAAACAAATAGGAGTTATCAATGTTCAAAAATGTGTGGAATTGAAATTTATCAAAACATAATAGTAACGTTATGTTATATAATATATTTAATTATTTACGTGACAATTGATAGAATATTTTCGCTTAAAAGATGAGCTCCCTTGAACTCTTTGCAGCTCCCTGTTGTTCTTTTCATTACATTACGTATAACTTACAGATGAATCACCCCACGTAAGTCAGCTTACTATATTTTCAAATTATAAACTATAATGTATAGTTTATTTATTTTATTTAACCAAAGTCTTATAAATTTATCTGGTATTTTTAAACTATTTAAGACTATATACATATTTATTTGCCTTTACATGTTATTTATCGAATGACAGACAACAATCTGTTTATGTGTTTGTCGTGCTCAATCAACCATTCATGTATTGATTATTTATTTATAAATATTTATCACCGTATTCTAAATTTTCAAACAGCTTCAAACATTTAATCAAGCTGACGTAAACATTCAATCACTATACGAAAAATCAAATTCAATCAATCGATTTTCAACTATAAGCATTGCCGGTATAATTCATATTAAAAAAATATTCATAGTTTTGCTTTTTATAGAATCGTAACTAGCAAATGAGTGTAATTTATTTATATAAGATGAGTAAGTACAATACCTTTACAATACGACTTATATTATAAATAAAAAGCTTGGTAGGAAATGCATAGAATTTAAAAAACGATGGTGGCCTTTAAATTACATATTTATACATTGCTTTCTATTGATAAAGCATTTATTTAAAAAAATTAAAT